AACTGAATAGCAAAGTTATTATCCAAAGTATCCTGGTGCCTCACTTCCCCCAGCCATAGACAGCACATGACAGGTACATGATAAGTTTTCTAGTTGATTGTGTTCCTATGTTCACGTGGAATATTGATTAAGGATCAGAATTCACATCTGCTAGTAATGTACTCTACAAAAGCTGTTGTAGCCACAAAATCTTAATATTTCATGCTGAAAAAGCCCTGCATTATTGCTGTTAATGTATTCTTTTATCTATTAATATGCTCAAATATGTATCATTAATAATATTTGTCAAATGAGTGAGTACATAAGCACGTAAGTAAATAAAAGAATAAATTAAAGATACTATCCCAGGGCTGGGTGCAGTGGCTCACACCCAGAATTCTGGGAGGTCAAGGCGGGTGGGTTGCCTGAGCTCAGGAGTTCGAGACCAGCCTGAGCAAGGGTGAGACCCTATCGCCAAAAAATACCAGGGTCCTGTGGTGGGTGCCTGTAGTCTTAGTTACCTGGGAGGCTGAGGCAAGAGAATTACTTGAGCCCAAGAGTTTGAGGTTGCTGTGAGCTCTGACACTATAGCACTCTACAGAGGGTAACAAAGTCAAACTCTGTCTCAAAAAAAAAAAAAAAAGAAGAAGAAGATGGTATCCAAATACTTTTCAGCATGAAATTTTATAGTTTGAAGGCTACAATGGTTCATCAAAGTCTTTTAGAAATGAAGACCTTTCCAAATATAACAGTGTTTGTTAGAAGTTCTGTCCACCACTTCAGGGCATAGATTCCACATCCTTAATAGGTAACAGGTGACTTAAATATGAGAAAGTGGTCTCTAAGCCCCACAGCACTGACCCCAAATTCCTGCTCAGCCTTTGACGTCCTTATGTGACCTTCGGCAAGTTACTGCACTTCTCTAAACCTCAGTTTCAGCCTGTAAAATCTAGAGGTGATAATAGAACTGATTTCACAGTGGCATCGTGGGAATTAAATTAAAACACTTAATATAGTTTCTGGTTCATAATAAGAACTCAGCAATCGTAAACTATTATGTCCTGACGGTAGTAAGTTATTTTATAAGCTTTGGAGGCCAACAACTCCTCCCCCTGTTTTGTTCTCTGCTGACATAACACATGACACAAGGTGAATGAATAGGCTAGAACTAAACTGATTTGAAAGCAATTGAAACGTTAAAATCTGCTCTGCTGCAGGATTTAGAATTGCCTAGTGAGTGTTCATTTTCACTCATTTTAGAGTGCTTTTGTTTGTATTATCTGCTTAATTGTCTCTGCAAATCCTTGAGATAGGTATTCCCATCTTTAAATCATTGTTGAGTGAAGAGGTTGTTGAAGTAATTAGTCTGGTTCTTAAAGTGACTAGAACCCAGGTCTCTTGGCCATGCGTGCTATCTTGGGAACCCACACACCAAATAAGTTCTGTATTGTGCAATGTATCCCTAGGGAAAGGGAGAACTTCAGACCTTTACCCACTTGTATTCTATATTTCATTCATTTCTCGGCTGCTTGGTACATAGAGGCTTTTACTAGTAAATAAGAACAGATACAGTAGCCTCCCCTGCTCACTGGATTTTGCTTTTGGCAGTTTCAGTTACTTTCCTCCAACGAAGGTCTGAAAATATTCAATGGAAAATTCCAGCAGTAAAGAATACATAAGTTTTAAATTTTGCACCACTCTGAGTAGTGTGATGAAGTCTCACACTACCCTAGACATGAATCATCCGTCCCTCCGGTGACTCCAGGCTGGATGCAGGCCTGGTCTTTCTGACACTCAGGAGCCACCTCAGTTAGCAGGATCCACTGTTGTGAGATACTGCAGTGCTTGTGTTCAGATAAGCCCCTCGTTTATTTAGGCGTTGTGCTATTTTCTTATCAGTTATTGCTATTAATCACTTGCTAGGCCTAATTTAGAAATTAAACATTATCATACATGTGTAGGTATAGGAAAACACATAATAATAGGGTTAGATATTCTCCGTGGTTTCAGATATCTACTTGGGGTCCTGGAACACATCCCCTTGAATAAAGGATGACTACTATATACTTTTAGTTCTCCAAATTAAAAAACAAAACAAAACACTATTCAATAGGTAATCCATGAGTGTTCTCTGTGCACAGTCAGGCATTTGTGAACATTCACTCATTCATTCATGCATTTATTTTTCATAGCATTCCAGAATAGTGCTTTTCTTTCTCATCTGCTATTTTTAAATGAAATTATAGGATAACTTTCTAGAATTTTTATTTGTTTAAATTATGAACATTTACAATACACTGAAAAGTACAGAGAACAATAAAACATTTCTGAACCCACCACCAGCTTATTATATCAATACACTAATATTGTGCTATAGTCACTTAACAAATTTGTTAAACTTCAGCACCTAGACCTTAGAGCTGTTGATTGGAATTTTTGCAAACCCTAAATATAATACTCTTCTCTTGCCCACTTGTATTCTGAATCAGATTAGAGATAGGTGATAAAGTCAGACAATGGATTTGTATTTCATTTTATTATAATAAAGCTACTTGGAGAATAGGTTTTGGGTTCTGGCAATAGAATGATCAAACCTTTATACAACTTGCCAGACAGTACTGGAAAATGGTAGATCCTGCTGGCAGAACCTGCCTTCTTGAATTTACTACATAACCTGGGGAAGATAAGAATGTATGTTTTCTACAAGTGGACAAATGCCAAAAAAGAACAGCCAGGGGTTGATCCAGTAGTCCTCCTGGAATCATCCAGGGCAGTCATGTACAAAATTACATTTCTATCATCACAGGACTGTGCATTATACGTGCAGGACAGTGGTGCTATAAGATTGTAAGACCATATTTTTACTGTACCCTTTCTATGTTTAGATACACAAATACTCAACTACTGTGTTACCATTGCCCACAGTAAGCAGTGTGGGAATGTACTGCACACTGGTACATTGGAAAAATGGTAGCTTAGGCTTGGCTGTGCCCTAAGCTTAGGTGGGCAGTAGGCTATACCATCTAGGTTACTGTAAGTACACTCTATAATGTCTGTATAATGACACAATCCCCTAACACAATCTGTTTCTCAGAACGTATCCTTGTTGTTAAGTGACACATGACTGCATATATGTCTCCTGAGGAGGAGTTGAATGAATGAGTGAAGACAAAAGCACTGCCCTAATGAAAGCACCTCTGCGGAGAAGCCTGGGTGGGAGATAGTCACCCATTCCAAGAACATCCAAGGAGCATGTGCTGCTGCCTTTCAACCCTCCTTCCCTTTCTGAAACCTGGAGGCACTCTTTATAAAATAATTTTCAGCTAAGCAATGCATTTGAAATTTGTGTATGTCTTATCCAGCATGTCCACATTTGAGGCCAGAAGCTTCAGTGGCTATTTTGCCAGAAATTCCTCCAGATAGTGTTTCTCAAAAAGGAAATAGGCTGGCCTACTAAGGAGAACAGGTCTTCTTAGACCTTTCCCAGACCTTTTAGATTGCACAGAATAAAATATTTCCTAATATTATTGACCTTCATTAATTGTAAAAAATAAACATGAGAGTAAATCTCAATTTGTATGTATTTTCTTCTTGGGTTTAGTATTACCACACTTTTAAACACATGCAGTAAGTATTAATATAATTTGGATTTCATGTCTTACATCTTATATGATCCTTTTCATACTCTCATGCTTGTCTTTATGAAGCTATTGCTATCCAGTGATAGAACTTTATGAAATTCTACCTTTACAATGGATTATTTGAAGATAATTATTTGAAAATATTCCAAGTGCCAATGGTTTCTTATGCAATTGATCTCTCGAGCCATGAATTTTAGTTTCAATAAATATAGTTTTTGTGAAGAAGAGATATCTTACAAAGCATTATAGAAGTAGTGGGAAAGTATGTCTCTAATCTTTGGTGCATTTAGTCTCAGAAAAATCTCACATTCCTCCTTCCACCCCAATAAAACAAAATAGAACCAACACTGAATTGAAGAAAGCAACAACTTCTCTCGTGTTTAAGCAACCTGCCAAATGTGATCACTTCCTTTCTTGGAAATTGGCATAAATGTAGAATTTGCTATCAACTTTCTTTCAAGTACAGAAATAAAAACATTTCAACATACTAAGGCAAAACAAGTGGAAATTTTTATTGAACATTTACTTTGACAGACACTGAAAATTATCCTATGTCCGATCATCTCCTCCACGCTAACACTATTTTTGACTCTTTTTACAGATTAGGGAACATTAGGTTTCCTGAGTTTATCGGCACCCACGTGGCTGTTACATCTTTTTGATATTTAAACAACCCACGTTATTCAAGGCCAGGTACAGTCTGATGGTGGCTAATACAGTAATACCCAAGGGACCTCAAAAGAACAAAAAGATCCTTGAGTTGTGCAAAGATCTAAATTATGCAAGCTGCAGGAATTCTAGGTGGATATTACCATGCCTTTCAGATCATTTTCTTCCCTCCATGGTGTAAACCTTTCAGAGCCATATGGATTAGGTTACTTAACTGCTTTGGTCTTCAGAATGAATCCAACGGACCTCTTCTCAGAATGCTTTAAAATGCTTAACGGAACGAAGGGGAATTATACTGAAATACAATTCTGGCCTCTAAACTCAGGGTATCCAAGCATTTCTATTCCATCCTCCCAAGTCTACCAAGGAGGCTTTCTCTGCCTTCCTCAGAAAGGCGAGGAAGAAACGTCCAGGCCGGTTTGCAAGTTGTGTGAGTGGGGAGGAGTACGGGATGGGCTACTGAAGTGTTTCTGAGGTGGCATCAATGTCCTCTTCTCTCTAGAATCTTCTCATCTCACTATCCTTCCCCACATTTAGCCCAATTGTTCTCCTCCTACCTCGTTTCCATTCTCGGCCCCGCCCACTCCTCTAGGCCCCATCCAAGGCCACGCCTCCCTCAGGCCCCACCCCCCCACTTGAGACCCGCCTTCTCTTCAGCTGCCTGCCAATCACGCTGGGGCTGCGCTGTAGTCTCGCCCCATAGCTCGCGCTCCGCCGGCCCGCGGCGGGCGCTGTGAACGAAGAAGCCAGAGCTGCGGAGGGATGGACCCGGTGGTGGGCGGCTTCTCGGAGGGGCAGTTCCTGGAGGCCTGCGCCGAGCTTGAGCGGCCGGTGTTGGCTGGGGCCGACTGGGAGCTGCTGGTGGAGTCCTCGGGTATCAGCTTGTACGGGCTGCATGACCAGGTAGCGGCCGGCCCGCTGGAAACCCGGAGTGCGGAGCTGCGGCGGCGGAAGGGGCCGGGCGGGTCATCTCCAGCACAGGGAGGAGCTCGCCCCGGCCAGGCAGCCGGCGCCGGCTCCGGAAAGTGCACAGGGGAGGTCCCTCTGGGTGGTTTTTCTTCTGTGCCGATCCGGGGGAGTTGAGAGGTTGTCCGACTTCACCCTCAGGTCGGGCACAACTGGGGAAGTAGTTTCTTAGAAGTTAATGACAGAGTTAAACCGTGGGTCGACTGATCTTAGTCCCATGCAAGGGAAAAGGATCCCTGTCCCTAACGGGCGCCATTGGTGTATGGGGCGAGGGGCGGGGCGATGTCCCACCTAAGTCTTGGATATCGTGGAAAAGAAACTTTGGTGGGCCTGGATATAGGGGGTATGTGGGGGCTGCTGAGAAGGGGTCTACTATTTTAGTGACTTGCTTCTTTTGGAGGCTGCCTCTCTCTTAAGTTGCACGTGACAGCTTGAGTCTGAAGCTTCGGGCGAAAAGATTAAAGATGTAGGAGGAATGGAGTTGGTTATTAAGCAATTCTGGTGACCTCACTGGAGGCATTTGGAACAAGGTACCGTCCAGGTGGAAGGCATTGCCCCCGAAACCTGTCATAGGAAGCTTGTGGTCAGTTGCTTTATGTAAATAGCAGCCTAGCAAGGAGGTTAAAAGTCCCTGGCAGGTAATGTAGGTGAAATCTAAGTCTGCTGGAATTGGGCCAGAGTATTACAACGTTAGATAGAGCTGGGAGGCGTCCTGATGCTCTCCTGGTGCAATGCCAGGTTTCATAGATGGAGGAAACAGGCCTGGAGGGCTGAAACCCCTCCTCCAGGGAGCCCGGCTAAATTCACAGCAGTGGTGGGGTTGGAGGGTTCATGATTCTGTGAATGTTAATCACAGTGTGGTTGCTTTCTGAAGCAATATAATTTATATCAAAATAGTATCTCTATTTTAAAACAAAATAATCATTCATAATAGTTAGAATTTGTGGCTCAAGCGGCTAAGGCGCCAGCCACATACACCTAAGGTGACGGGCTTGAATCCAGCCGGGGCCCGCCAAACAACAATAATGGCTGCAACCAAAAAATAGCCGGGCGTTGTGGCGGGCGCCTGTGGTTCCAGCTACTCGGGAGACTGAGGCAGGAGACTCGCTTGAGCCCAGGAGTTGGAGGTTGCTGTGAGCAGTGAAGCCATGGCACTCTACCCAGGGGGACAGCTTGAGGCTCTGTCTCAAAAAAAAAAAAAAATAGTTAGAATTTGCTCATGTGTAAAACAGGAAAGAAAACTTTGTCCTGTCTCCTCAAAGCGTTCTCAGGAGATTAAAATTGGATTTTTTTTGTTTTGATTGTTTCATTAAATAAAAGGATATTTACACAAACACACACGCAGAGAAGCATGTGTAAACTATTAATAGGAAGGTCTCATTTTCAGAATGAAAGCTAACATTTTCACCACAGACCACTGAAAGACAGCCTGGATCACTGTCTGTTCATAGCCCACGATTTGGAATATTTTGATGGAGGAAATCAGCTTTCCAAACTGCATCCTGAAGGAAAATAATACTTTTCCAAACAAAGGAAATAGGATGCGAAAAAAAGACATTTCAGGCAGAGGAGAGGTCATAATATGTGTCAAGGGATGGCACCATGCAAGGATCTGAGGGATTTTCAAGGAAGGGGATAAAATTAGATTTTTTAGATGTTTGAAAATCTGAGACAGCTGTCTATTACCCTACAATGCACAGCCCCCTCCCCAGGAAGAATTATCCTGCACCAAATTATAGTACTGGTGAGGTTGAAAAACCCTACTCTAAATAAATAGACAATATTGACACGATAAATTTCTTAAGCACATACACATTTGCTATGGAGACAGTCCACCCTTCTCCCAGTTATTGCTACTGTGCAATATGCCACTTTGAACATTTATGGCCTAGTAGGGCAGTCTTTTATAATCCAGAGCAGAGCAGGTGCTGAAACTACCATATTTACTTTTTTCTGCATACCTGCCATGTATCAGACCACAGGATGTAACAAGATGAACAAGAAGCTCATAGTCTAGAACTGGCAGAATTAAGTTCCTAATGTAACTTTTAACAGGTGCTTTGGTTCGGAGATTGGTGTATTTTCAGACAAAATCCTATTCCATTTTCCTTGCCAGTCCCATCAAGGCATTGGCTAAGTTTTGTTGATCCCATTACTCAGACCTATCTGGCCTGTGGCCCATTTCCTTCCTTATCCTTCCTTGGCTACTTTGGGTGCTCCGCACCTCTCACCTAGGATTGCAGTGCCCTCTTGACTAGTTTCTTGGCCTTCCACCCTCTGTTCTTCTCTATCCTACACATCACAGCCTAGTCTAGGCGGAGTCACCACCTTTTCAATGGCACTATTGGTTGCAGAATTAGGAATAATAATCATTGCAATAGCTAACACTTGTTACCTGGTTTCTTATAATCCAGACACTATGTGTTTTGCAGGTATTGATGTTCTCAATCCTTGCGCAACCTATGCATAGTGTCCTAGATAAGACACTATGATTATCATCTTTCTACCTATATAGAAATGAATGCATGGAAAGATCACGTTGGTTGCTTAAGATCTGAAGTAGGATCAGAGCCTTGCAGTCTGGCTCCAGATCCACACCTTAAACATGCTCTTGTGTTGCCCCTCTGAACAGAGGGCAAATGCTGCCTGGTAGGTACAATAAACTAGTTTGGTCTCAACCCCATTTGCATATTCATGTCCCATGACTTGTTCATACACCTCACCTCTTTCCAGCCAACTCAGACCACTCTACCTCCTTCGAGGACCTATGCCATTGTCTATACAGACAAGGACACCGAGGTTCAGGGGGGGTAAATGGCACCTCGAAAGCATGTGGCTGAGAAGTGGTGAGACAGGAATTTAGATCTAAATCCATCTGTCACCTCCTGAAGTCCCCAATTCTTTTCTCTTGTGCCACATGCCCTCTTTTTCTGAGAAAGCTTCCTGAATATGAACCATCTTAGGAGGAGTAAGTCCCTCATTATTGGAGGTACAGTGCTATGTTGGAGAAAAAACTCAAGCTCTGTGGATTTTTTAAAAAATTCTCTCAACACCAATGACAATCAACATGGGAGACTTGTGTGACCAGATGTCACCAAGCAAGCAATCAGTTCTGCCACAGGCACCTGCTGGGTGTCCTCCAGTTCAATTCTGAGCCTACTTGCTTGGAGATAGTGTCAGATCCCCCAGGCTGAGGCCTCATGGCAGCAGATTGCCCCCACCCCCACTTCCAGTAGAAAGCCCCAGGTTGATCTGCCTGTGCTTCTGACTGATTGGCTATAAATCAGGAACCCTATGACAGACCCCCTCCTTGGATTTGATTCATTTGGGAGAGCAGCTCACAGAGCTTAGGGGAACCCTTACATTTACCAGTTTATTGTGATATAAAAGATTTTACAAAGGATAAAGTAGAAGAGATGGGTATAGCGAGGTAGAGGGGACATACCCAGGGCTTTCATGCCCTGCCTGGTGTGTCCCCCTCCAGGACCCTCCACCTGTTCAGCTGTCTGGAAGCTCTGTGAACCCTGCCTTCTTGGGCCTTTTATGGAGACTTCATTGGATAGGCATGGTGGAAGCATGGCAACCATGTTGAAATGTGATGGGACAAAAGGGATGTGCTCTCATACTGATAGACCAATTGGGGAAACCCAGCAAGGCCTGTCTGCTCAGATTCTTCTGGCCTCTCTGTGGGGCATCCCTTCTTGCAGGGTATGGGGCAGGGCCCCTCTGGACCTACGCAAAGACTAAAGGCTATATAATTTATTCAGCCCTTACTGAGGCCCTGTAATGAGTCAGATGCAGTGCTATGGATCTAAGGTAGAGTAGCTTCCCTGAAGATTATAGTGATTTAGTTGTGAAGAATTTACAAGAGTCGATTGGATGAAAGGAGCTTTATCTTGGATAGCGTGCTTGCCACTGTGAGTACGGAGCTGGGTGTGGATGAAACCCCCACTTTGCCTCCTACACTCAGTGTCAGAGGTGACTAACCTGAGCCTAAAACCACGTTGCTCCTTGGGGCTCCTTATTATAAGAGGTTTAGAAACAAAGATGGAGAAAGCTGAAATTGTGATCATGATCTAAATGACACCGATACAAAGTTACTGTTACACACTTTGCCAAGACAAGCATAGAGGCACTCGAAAGAACTGTCAGTGTAACAACTGAATTCTACCATAAAAAATTAAATTGTGGCCTCTCTTAGTAGACAGAAACGACTCTATATCCTGTTCTTGGACAAAATGGGCACTTTGATGTATAACATTTTGATATATATTTTTTCTTTTTTTCTATTAAATCACAAATTTTGGATGTAGACAGTTTCTTCTAAACCAGTGGTTCTCAACCTTCCTAATGCCGCAACCCTTTAATACAGTCCAAAGGGGTCGTGACCCACAGGTTGAGAACCGCCATTCTAAACCGTTCTGTCCCACACCAGGATCTTTTCCTTTCACTTTTCTTTCTTTGCCCGTTCTATTTCCTTCTTCCTGTCTTCTCCTTTTCCTCCCAATGTTGTCATGGAAACTTTTCATGGTGCTGCCATTTACAGTATACCATCAAATGTAAGTGTGTTTATCCCTCTAAACAAATCTGCAAATAGGCTGGAAGGGGCTTTTCTATTTTGACAGACAGAAATAAGACCCAGCATTGTTAAGAGAGCCACATAAGAACTCAAGACTAGTGAACAGAACGGTCTACTTTGGTAAACTCAGTGCTGAATATAGTTTGGTTCAAAGCAAGAACTATTACAGATTCTCTTTCCGGAGACTATGCAAAACTAGGCAGGAGCTGCCATGATGGTATCATGAGAAGAGCATGGATTTTGGAGTTAAGCGGGCCTGCATTAAAATCTCAGTTCTATTAGCATTCATTTATTCATTCAGAAGAGAGTCATCAGCTATCTCCCACGTGCCCCTGTCTTTGCAACTCTGAGAATAGTG